GTGTACCTGGCCGTCTGTGTAATGTAAAAGAAAAAAGTTCTTATTGGACCAGGTACCCTTCTTCCATTGCTCCAAGGTCCATGGTTCTGACCCTTGCATGCCCATTGAAGGTGCTTTAACGTGGACAAGGGTTAGCATGGGCACTCTGACCGGTCTGTGGCTATACAGCCCCACATGCAGCAGGGTGCAATGCACTATATTGTGGCACATGCTTCCTGTAACCATCATTAAAATGTCTGTGACTTGTGCCACAGTAGTCCTTTGGACGAGACGGGAAAACCACTGTTGCCCTGTGCATCCATTAACCTTGGGCACTTAATACCCCGTCGCCAGTTCATGGTTTGTCTCTCCTCACACCACTAACGGTATGTTCTGTTGTTCTTTCTCTCAGATCCCCCGCAACAACAGACTCATGTACATCCACAGCTACCAGAGCTTTGTGTGGAACACCATGGTCAGCAGGAGAGTGGAGGCTTACGGCCTTAAAGCTGTGGAAGGAGACTTGGTTCTCAGAGGAGGTATGATTTTCCAGTCTGACTGAGGGATGCGTATGGGTTTTGGAAAACTGCTGCTCATGCTATAGGCCACTGGTTCTCATGCTGGAGCAGTGGTACTCCAGGCCCTGAGAACAAGACTGCAGTAGGCTATCCTGTAGAGACTAATTTGATCAAGTAAAGCTTTCTCATTCTACATTTGTATATTCATAATAGTTTATATCTCAGTAACACAGGCCTACTGGGAGTAAAAACAGAGTAGTGATTGTTTTAAGCCTATTCAGAGCATGCTGTCTGTATAGTAGCTCGACAACTTCTGCAGCCCAAAAAAAGAATCACTTGTGCTGATTGCTGTTGTGCTGATTGCTGTTTGATAATATATGTAATTTTAGATTGTGTGTGTGTGTGTCCATCCCGCAGGCACTGCCCATGTACTCACTGCTGAGGAAGCTGAAAAGCAGTCCATTCATGACGTTGTGATGCCATTGCCTGGATTTGATGTTATCTACCCCACACACGAGGGTAGGTCGTAACACCTACATCTTCACATCGTTCATTTCCCACCTCTGCATATGTTTACTGTAAACTTTTTTCTGGCTGGCAATTTTCTGGGCTCTGCTTAGAGTTATCTGTAATTTTGTGTGGTGTTCAGATTCCTGTTTCGTAAAGCCTTAAAGCAGCAGTGTATTTTAGTGGCATAATTTGAAACATCTGTTCCATGCTTTCTCTGTCTGTGTGGCAGTGGGGAAGGGCTACAGAGACTTGCTGACAGCCGATAATCTGGACATTGATAACTTCAGGCATAAAGTGCGAGATTACTCTCTGGCCGGAGCCTACCGCCGCATCCTCATACGCCCCAGCGATGTCAGCTGGTAAACCTAGTGTCCTTATTTTGGCTTTAAATATTAGGACAGAAATTATGTGCAATATGTTCAGTTTAAAGCATCCAGCTTCCAAAATGTCCTTTTGGAAATGCTCACAATGTATTTTTCTTTGTTTTAATCTTGCTCTTAAATGCATTTCTACACTTTGTCTCATATTTTTCAAAGGGAGGTGATCCAATATGATGACCCTAAAGTGCCCCTGATTTACACGGATGTAGAAAAGCTGGAAAACAAACCAGTACCGGTTTATCTTAAAGGTGAGCAATTCTGCCTTATCCCACAGCTGAAGTTGTATCATTAAAATAGTATACAAAACCTTTTTGACACAGAACATACCTGCCTTCCTTTAAGTACATTCTGAACGCAGGTACCAGTGGTAGGTTCGCTCCTCTTGACATCACTCGGTGTATTTGTTTTTTTCTTTTCCTCTTTTTGCCACTCTCTCCCTATGCTGTCTGCTAGAGGGCAAATACAGAGCTCTGAAGATGGAATTTTCACTGCCTCCCTCTACCTATGCTACCATGGCAATCAGAGAGGTTCTCAAAATGGACACCAGCATCAAGAACCAGACGCAGCTTAACACTGTATGGCTGAACTGAGGACCACCGGCTGTCTTGTGTTTTGGGTTCCCCCCAAGCTTTTGTTTGGAGTAACTGTTTAAAAACTCCAACAGAAAATAAGCACAACAGCAGAGCTACAGCTTTGCTGTTCAGTAATTGCTTTCTTATTATTATTTTTTTTTAGAAACTTGTTTTTAAAGTGTACTTTTAGGCCATTTGGCCTAGAAAGGCAGTAGCTTTAACTGTTAAGTTTAATTGCCATTTAATACCCTGCACTTAGCAGGACAGATGCTGGGCGTGCAAAGTGAAGCACCCTGTCCCTTGATGGAATAAACGGAGATCATACAATATTCATTGTGTGTGTAATATCTTAAGACTCCAGGTGTACAGATGGGACAAATAAATAATTTTTAAATACATTTTTGTACCTGTATATTTACTAAATAACATTTGCAGAAATTATTTAAATTAATAAAATGCCTAGACAATAACAGTAAACAAAAATAATGGTCCTTAGGTATTTGGAATTGAAACATAATTGTCTCTACTTGTTAGTTTCTTTTGGTTGGACTGGGCTGCTTGCACTTCCTAACTAAACCAAACCAAAATAAAAGACGGGGTCATAGTTCAGGCTGAGGCACAAGACTTTACCTATATATAGTCTGTAACTGTGGCTGAAAGGTCACAGGTGGAGAAAAACATCCCGAGATCACAGGTGCTGCAGTGCTGACCATCTGGACCACATGCTCTGCCAGCTGGCCTTGGGTAGGCTATGATCTATAACTAATCTGTTTGCATTTGGTCATCATTACAGGAGAGAATGTGTGTGCACTGCCCCCTTCTGTCACTTATTTTATTTGCAAGGAATTAGATGTAGTGATGACATACTCAGAGGCCCTTTCTTACCATGACAGTTTTAGCAGTTCTGACAATGAGCAATTTTTGTAAAATTCATATCACTAATGCTCTCCAAAATTATTGGCTCTTGTGGTAAAGGTGGAAATGCCAGTTTGATCACAAATATGGTTGTTGTTGTTGTTGTTGTTGTTATTATTATTATTATTATTATTATTATTATTATTGTTATTGAAGTTAATCTTGGTTTCATTAAAAAACAGAAATGCCATTCATTCTGGTTTCACTGGGGAATAAATATTAAGTGACCATTATTCATCCAAGGAGAAGATCAAAGAATACACACAGACAAAAAATGAGACCTTGATTGACACTGATAAAGAAGACAGTGGCTACAAAAAATATCTTCAAACCTGAAAATGCACATATTCAATATTAGGGCAATAATTTTGAAACATTTTTACAGGTCAAAACACCCAACTGGACAATTGTAGGAGTTGGTTGTATCCTGGAGTCACTATACCTCCAAAACAACAGATTGTATTCTACACACTTAAAAAGATGGTTTTTTTTCAAGGGTTCTTTTGTAAAGAAAATGGTTCTGTAGAAACTGTGAACACTCAAAAGAACCACCATGATTAATCAGTTCTTTGCATCATGAAAGTGTTCTTCAGATTGATGGAGAATGTGTTGTGGATGGTTCTATATAGCATCAAAAATGGTTCTATTGTTACAAGCTTGACATTGTAACAGCAGCAGAACCCTTTTGAAAAAGGTTCTATATAGAACCATCTACAGCACATTCTCTATCAATCTGAAGAACAATTCCATGATGCAAATAGCTCTTTGAGTGTTCATGGTTCCAGATAGAACCATTCCCTTTCCTACAGAACCACTGAAGAACCTCCTTTAGAGTTTAGAGTCATTAAGTCTCCAAAACAACAATTAGACTCCCAACAGTCAAATGCAAGTGCCTGGAGTTCCTTTAACTGGAACTGGGTTCTATGGTCAGATGGGGTAAAAATAAAGGTTCTTGGCAAAAAAGATCAATGACATGCTTCAAAGTACTTCACCCACAGTATGCAATATGATGGTGGATCAATGATGTAGTGTGGTTGTTTTTCCTCCAAAGGCTCAGGGACTCTTGTTTGGATACACAACATACTGGACTTCAGGAAATACTACGAGATTGTACAATACAATGTGCCCCTGCCAGGAGACTACAAGTCATGGTTATATACTCCAGTGGAACCATGATACAAAGCAAACCTCCCAGTCCACACAAAAACAGTTCGCTGACCACAGAGTTAAGCTTTTCTAGTGGCCACCCCAAACCCCTTACCTACACCCCACTGACAAGCTGTGAGCTGAGCTCAAAAGGAGATTAATCAAGTGAGAACCAAAGGCTCTGGAGGATGTAAGGAGATGTGATATGGTGAAATTATATCCCTTTATGTAGATGCCAATTCTTCTGAAGGGTGCTGCTTTAGGCTTTTTCATCCGTGTTTAATGAATGCACTGAAACTTTGATGAACTTGAGGCCAGATGAGCCTTAATCACAGTTTGTGAGCTTGTATGAAATGAATCTGAACCCTGACTGAAATCACACTGTCTTCATGTTTTTCAAAATCAAAATCTCTGCATAATTAAATTGTTGAGATGTAAAAAGTCATTCAGAGTGTTTTGATGTGAAATGGTTAATTGTAGAGAAACGCACCTACTCAGATCCCTTTACAGTGGTGGTGACAGGATAGATTGTATTTAAAACATTTAGACCAAAATCTTATCTCACAGCTACCGTGAAACAGTGTATCAGGCTTTAGGCAGTGTACTCATAACCGTTCAATGTGATAACCGTCTGTGAGGGAGCTTTTAGAAGCATCACACTGTTCAGACGTCTGGTTCCTATCACGACCACTGTGAACAATGCTGACTCTTTAAGAGTTTGAAGAACGGAGCATTTCACACCAAACCAGTGTGAACTGACTTTGTTTACATCTTAACCATTAAATTATGTTGATATTACCTCTGAATTACCGCTGGAACTGGCTGTATTCTCCCCGCCATGTCGTCTACATGTTTTTCTTAACAGTGTGTGACACCTCAAAAAAAAAGTCTGGGTCCCACCTGGTCACCCCATTTTAAATGTTCTAGATACGCCCCTGCTCTCTCTCTCTCTGTCTCTCTCTCTCTCTCTCTCTCTCGCTGAGCGGTCGCAGTGCGCAGGCGCAGTAAGCTCAGTCACGGCGCAGTCAGCACCGCTAGTCGCGGTAAAAATAGTTTTTGAGGAAGAAACAAGCGGTTCAACCGCGCACTGACCTTCCCAGTTCCCCAGGATTGTGTGTCCAGCAGCAGCAGGTATGTGAACTTCTGTTTTTCGAGAATGAGTTGAGTTTAAGAACTTTAGTTTGAGAACTGATGACCTTCTGTGTGGATTTAAAAGTCAAGCGGACGAAGTATGAACGTGTTATTAGTAATAACTTTGGCTGTGTCCGTGTGATGTTTTCGCACCGTGTTTGAGGAGGGTGACTTTTTCCCTCGTATAGTTTAGTGTAGTCCGCTGTTCGTGGCTGGTGGGAGTCTCTCTGGATTTGGCGCTCTGAGCTAGTGCGCTCTGGTGGATCTGCGCTGAATTACGATAGTGGAGAGATAACAGACATTCCACACATGGTGTGGTGCAGCTCGAGCCCATCACGAGCCTCACAAACGAACCCCGAGAGGCGTAACTGCATATCAGATCAGGGCTTGGCAGAAATAAATCTTACCCTCGCTTAGGTTACGGAGTGGGATCAATTCTCATGTTTACCAGGTGATGGACTGCGGTTCTGTACGGAGCGCTTCTGGCGACGCCCCTGCTCTTAATAACAGTAATGCGTGGCCACAAGTTACTGAGGCGTGGGAACCGGTTAATTAAGTTGTTCCCATGCCTTACTAAGTCTTGGCCATGACTTGACTATCATAAACACCTCGATCCTACCACTTAATAAGTTGTGGCCACGGATTATTTTTATTAAGAGTAGGTGTCACCAGTGGGCCTGCATAGTTAACGTGGGTATTTTCAGCCATTTCAAACCCACAGAGGCTCATGATTTTTTATTTTCTTATGGTGGTCTGTTTAGAGTCGAGAAGCACTTCAGGCCTACAGGAGAACTAAGGACAGTGGTACTGAGTATATTAACCAAAGGCACTGCTGTACAGGGTTATCAGGTTTATCGATAGATACTAGATACTACAGCTACTTTAACGTGCTGCCATTGCTGACACTGGAATTAAGTTGCACACATGCAGCTTGTGTAATCTCTATAGACAAGTATTACCAAAAGAATGTAACCCTCTGGAGCAGCCACACATGAGCCCTGCCCAGTGCCAAGCATCAGCTAGAGGGGCTGTGGAGTAGTGGAACTGTGTTTTCTGGATCAGGAGTTGGAGTGGAGTTTATGATCCAGAACTAATCATCCAACATCTGAATTCAATCAAATCCTCACAGCAATGTTCCAGCATTTAGTCTAAAGCCTTCTCAGAAGAGAAGAGGCAGCAATGAGGGGACAAAATAGGGGAATGCTATTAATACCCTTGATCTGAGGAGAATGTTGGATGATTAGGTGTCTATACCTGTGCAACAGAATGTTTTGGATTTACTTTATATAACAGCAGAAGAACAGGATAAATAACAAATAAGCAAATGATCTAGGCTACATAAAGGTTGAGGCATAATAAACAAATATATCGCTGTTGTCGGGACAAAACCTCATATCTCCAAAATGATAACTTTACAGAAAAAGGAAAAAAAAACACACTACGCTTTTAATATGAGTCAATGGAACCAGATGCTTTTCCAAGTCATTTTGGGCCATTTCTTTTGGTCCATTCATCATGAAATTTACATACAAAATAAAAGACAATAAGCATTTTCAAATTATGTCAGAAACTAAAAAAATGACAAAAATGGAGATACAAGGTTTTGTTTTTCGACAGCACCGATATTTAGCAATTTCCCTAAAATTACAGTATCAGAGGCCGTTTGCCATTTTCCAGAGCTCCACTCCGCTGTGCTCCAGCCCAGTTTAACCCCTGGTTACACCTCTACTTACCATTATTATTTCAAATATCTGCTAATTTTGTGCTCATTCATCTTTAACAGATTACTTATCCTGCCCTGATCTGTGATTCTATCACAGTCTTTTCAGTGAGAACTGGTCTTAATAGTGAAATAACCAGCAGCACGTCTAACAGTACACAGAAAGGTGTAAAACCGCAGTGAGTCACTCTGATCTAGCCTCTGTGTGGACAGTTGTGGGACTCCCCTTCATTTCCTCGCTGCGCAGGAGACAGCAGGGTAGTGTTACTCAGACAGTGACAGATATATCTGCCCACTGCCGGCTCACTGCCCGGTTGGGGTCGCACAGTAGTAAAAGTCTGTCTCTGTTTCTCACACACACACACACAGCGTTGTGGGAGGGCCAAGACGAATCACAGTTTCAGACTAAACAGCTTTCATAAAGACTGAGCTTTGAATGGATAAGAAAAAGTAGTCGTAGATCTGCACAGCTGAATTACATATCATATATGCTGCTTTTACTTATCCATAAATGTGCTGATGCATATATTTTTCATGATTCCCACTGCATGTATACACTCTGTATTACTAAAGTTACTGAGAATTTTCAGGCCCTAAATATGAATCTACAGTCATATGTACTCTCGTTTGAGGACCCTGCTCCAATCACGTTTTGTTGACTTTCTAATTGAAAATGATGACCTCTACAGGTAACAAGCATTCTTCTGCTAATTTTAGTGCAAGTTTCTATATATTTGTTATATTTAACATATTTAACCTTTGTACATGGCACATTTTATGTTTTGTTTTTTTTCCAGTATGTTAAATTCAGCAAATAAACAGTAATTGTCCATTAAAATGTGCAGAAATCTGTTCTCTGTAGAGGATGTGTTGACTTTTTTCAGATAGAAAATCAGTAAAACATGTAATTTGACCAGGGGCGCTCACACGTTAACATCTGAGTGCTTGCATTTCTAAATAGATTTAGGCACCAAAAGTAAAAGCAAATATGTTTATCAGCATATCTCATATCTCAGTATTAAATATTTGCAATTCACAAATTAAAAATCTGTGTTTAATTTTTTTTTATCACTTAAGTCATGTTGGCATTTAGCAGCTGTATAATTAAGATGCTATTTAAATGGTGCACATTTTAAACAGTACAAACTCTAACAGCACTCCCTGTTTTAAAAAAACATGAGTTGAATTTCATATTATCCAGACAGTCAGACCACCTTCTTCTATTAAATGTGCCCTTTGCCTTTCACTGACTGCTATCTTTATAAACCCTCTCTCAGAACAAAACTTTTTTCCGTTTTACCCCATAAGTAATGGTTCATGAATTTTATGGAATTGAGTTAAAAGAATGTTTATTTCCTAACTGCAATCTAGTAACTGCTAAAGGTAAAAAGTATGAAAGAATGTGGGTGTTGTGCTCTGGCGCTGGTTAAATGTTTTCAAGTGAATGTTCATTATGGTTTCATATGATTGTCTCCTTCCAGGATGGTGGCGGACGAGGAAAAGACAAACACCTGTGGGACGATCTGTCTCAAATACCTGCTCTTCACCTTTAACCTGCTCTTATGGGTCAGTCTTTATGTGTTGGCAAAAATGACACGTTTCTGTTGAATATTGACTCATTTCAAATTATAGCTCGCTTGTCCACAAATCTGGGCCTGTTATTAGAGAACAAACAGAGCCAGTTTCCAGTCATGGTTGAACCACAGTGCCAAGGATGGGACAACACTGAAAATCTGTTTTAAGCCAGGGTTTAGGCTTAAACTGTGTTTGGCAAAACATTTCACTGAGGTTGCTTTATGGTTTAAGCTGAAATCACTTATTTATTGTACAAACAACATACTTTATATTCTCTCACTTCACTACTGACCTGTGTGGAAAAAGCTGCTTGGAACTGTATTGGGAATGTAAAACTTCATTACTATATTACAGTATATAAGTGTAATATTAAGTGTTATGTCGATCTTGTGCTCTGTCTCTGTCAGTTGTCTGGAGGTGCTGTGATGGCAGTGGGACTGTGGACTTTGGTGGATAAGAGCGACTACATCAGTCTTCTCTCTTCCAGCACATATTCTTTGGCTGCCTACATCCTCATCGCAGCGGGAGCCATCGTCGTGCTCACTGGAATCCTGGGCTGCTGCGCCACCATTAAAGAGAGCAGAGGACTTCTGATAGTGGTGAGCGAGGAACTAAGGGTTCAACTATTTCAGTACTGTATTGGAAAATCGGAAGAATGAATGTTTCATAGAGTGTATTGAAATTACGCCCCTAAGTCTCTTATTTACTGCCTTTTCAGGCTTCTCCTTCAGAATCAGAATGAAAAAGTGTAAAGAACTAGAGGAAAATGTGTGTAGACACCCCTAATAGTTACTTATGTGCATACAGCATTATCAATGAAATCTAAGCAACATTAAAACTGATGAGCTCAAATATCATATTAACCTGCACATGTACTTAAGTTCAGATTGCACATGTTCATTTAAACATCGTGAATATTTTAAGCTCTGTATAAAGGCAGAAACAAAAGCTTTTTCAGAATAGGAAAGGGCCACTGCCAAAAAACTGTCCTAGACTTCATTCCAAATATAGTTGTGGAAAATTTTTAGATGGCTTGGCTCAACACTGCCTTATACTGTAATGTCCGGAGAGACTATTGGGAGGAATGTCTATGAAATGCCCTTTTCATTTCAGATTAATGTGTTGGTGTAAAGCGTGGAATTGTTGTTTAGAAGAACTGCAAACATTATGATTAGACAAACTGTCAAGGCTACTGGATGTGTTTTAATATTGACGTCACCCGTCATTACTCCCTAAATTAGATCATGTGCACGTGTGTGGGTGTCTTGTCACGACAACATATGTGATTTAAATAAACTGGTGTGTATCTTTAAGAGCACCGAGTGGGCAACTGAGTCACAGCTGAGGAATGATGGGCATGGTGGGGGGGCTTGGGTAGAGGAATGAAGGGGAGATGACTGAGTGAGCAAAAGTCTCCATACAGGAAGGGAGTTGTAGGGAGGTGTGGGAGAGAGGAAGAGAGAGAGAGAGAGAGAGAGAGAGAGAGAGAGAGAATGAGAGTGCTAAGTGAATTACACTGTTGTTTCCAGACTTCCAGTCAATGTTAATGTTTCACTCTTCAACAGCTGATAGACGTCTGCCTGTCTCTGTCGAATGTTGAAGGCGAGGTCATTCCTGTAAACGTGTGACGCGCTATAACTGTTCTCTTTCTCAGAATCACAAACATATGCCCACCTCTACTTGGAGCTGAATTTCATACATACTATACTTTTCACTTCATGAAATCTTATATAGTAACATAAACATAGTATCACACATTACGTGTGCTTAATTTATTATGTCATGTGTCTGTTTTTTTTTTATTTCTTTTGCAGTTCTTCGTTCTGCTGCTGTTAATATTCCTGCTGGAGATTACTGCTGGGGTTTTGGCCTATGTATATTATCAAGAGGTAAAGAGTGTCCTTGTGCTTTGTTACAGTATGATTCAGTGAGATGGCCAATTGTGAGACATTCTCTATCAGTCCTCTCCTTTTGATACTACTTTGTTTGTTTCTGTTATGCTGCTATTTTTCTGATGTTTTGAAACTTCTTCCTTTATCTTTCCTCTGAACTTCTAAAAACAACTTCTAGATGCATGAAAATAACACCTCACTTTTCTAATATGCCACTGCACGTTTAATAATAGTTATAAAATTATATAGTTTGTCCTAAAATCTGATTGGCTGAGCTGCGTTCGAAGCTGTTGTAAAATCCACAGTACACACACACCTGTGACCACCTCACAGCAACTGAACGCTGCATTACTGCGCCACAGCATGGAACAGCCTTGTCGTGTTAATGGAATAAGCTTTGACTCAAATGCTGCTCGCATGGACCACTGAGTGCACTGATGAAGTAACAACCCATTTTTGTTTAAACGGCTGACAACTTATTTGTCTAGAACTAGGCTGGTCAGCTAACTAACAGGCTAAAAGATAGCTAACATGCTACACAAATCCATCATTAATATCACAGGCTTGAATTAAAGTGCTTACTATATGATTCACTGTAAAACTGCAAAAATATAAAAGTCTAAAGAATGTCACTTGAATGGCTTACATGCTTCAAATGTCCATGTTTCAGTCAGAAGCAGCATCAAACTCAGGCTGAACGCCTTACGTAACGTTACTTCCCAAATAGTGTGCTAGTTATGGAAGTTTTGGAATTCTGTAATAAATAGTGTACATACTGCACTGCTTGTCAAGTGTAGATGTGGCTGAATCCCAGATGACTATATTTAATGACTTATTTTTAGCTATATTATGCACATTTGAGATTCAGCCCCAGTGTGAGAAGAAGCACCTTTGGACTGGCGCTAAACAAGACTCATAGTAGTAATTCGGTGACCAAAAAGTAGGTTGTTGCATCAAACATTGCTACGTTATCCTATGTTCATTGCTATACGACAAAAAGTTATGAAGTTCATGAAATAACCGCAGAACACAGTGATGGCCGACTGAACATGCTACTTGGCAACAATATCGTGCTTTAAAGGAACTAAATTTCTTGGCGGAATACTTGTTTATGTCAATTCTTATTATAATAACATAAATCATTTTTTAAAATGTATATTTGTTGATTATTAAACTTAATTTATGTTGGCCGCTGTTTGTCACAGGGAAGGGAGTTTTGTCACCTTTCCCTGCGATGAAATTGCAGTAATGCACGGCCTCAAGTTGCTTTATTATAATTACAATAATAATTAGAATGCAGAATGCACGCTTCAGCCCACTGCTGTTTTCTTGGTGAATGTCTTAAATCCTTAACTTATGTAGTGTGAGTTTCTCAGAGTAGTTAGAAGCTGTCACTTAGAACACTCTTTTTTAAATAGTTAAGACGGCCTTAAAAAGAAAATTCAAAATTTCTCCATCATTCAGTCACCAAAATGTTAACAAAACCATTCTGTGTTCATTGTCCAGAAAATCATTGACAGTAGCCAGTGTCTTCACAACCTTTATATGTAATAACTTTCTGTGAGAGAGCTTTGAGAGACATTAAACTCTACAGACGTCTAGTTCCTATCACCACCACTGTGAACAATTCAGACTTTGTAAGTTTCTCTGGAACAGAGCATTTCACTCCAAACCACTCTGAATGACTGTGTTAACATCTTAAATAATAAATATGCAAGAATTAAACAACAAACAAAACACTTTTGATAAGCTCGTATCATTTAATGCCATGCTAAAACATTTAAGCTTTAGGTACAATGTCTAGTAACATTGTAGAGGTTGTAATAAAAACATTAATCGTTTGCCGACATTAATACATGTTGTAATTGATCATTAAAGAAAACATCATTACGTTCATGCTATCCAGTTAAAGCTCATATTCAAACAATATTCTGTTGAATGTGTGACAGTGTCTGCATGCCTTCTGTTGACTTCTTCTGTCATCATAAACCTTATCTCTCTTCCTCCACCACTTCTTCTTGCTCCAGTGTTTCCCTTTCTGCTATGAGGTAAACCACTACCACACTGTCAGATTCCATTCTGTCTCCCTCTTTGTTAAACCATACTCATCCACCCTCCAATGACACTGTAGTTTTCTTATATATTTATAGTTCATACCGTTTTCTGTTTTCTGTTGTCTAACTGCGTTGCATAACCCTGTACAGCTGAATGAGGAGCTGAGAGCAGACCTGAAGGAGACCATGGTGCAGAAGTACCAGAAGCCTGGTGAAGAGCACATCACCAGAGCTGTGGATAAACTCCAGCAGGACGTAAGAATTTATGTGATAAAGGGAGTATGAGGATGTCAAACGTTCAGACTGACATATGTAGTGTAGTTCTGCTGATATTTAAGCTATAGAACATGGGGGGAGCCATCTTATTTACAATAATGCATGACCTATAGTGTTCTCTTGTTTTTTTGTACAACAGTTTTGCAAAGGAAAGAAAAAGGAAAGACACCCCAAACCATGGGTATTTAGTCTCATCCACGAAGCGCCGGTGTGGTTACAGATTCTCATTCCAACAGAGCAGGAGCTCACACAGCCGCTTTTTTGAAGAGTGAGACCAAATGATTAAACAAGTGCAAGCATGTGTGCTCCTGCTTATTTGGAATGAAAACCTGCAGCTTCCCCTGCCCGAAACATTGCTTCTGATATGTGTTTTCAGCCAAAAATGTAGTTACAGCAGCTTAGAGTACAGCATCCATTGTTGTTACTTAGCTACTAGTAGTGAGTGGAATGATACTGGTAAAGCTGTGCTGGTGTCAGATATAACAACACAAGTATAATGAGAGATTTTCTTAGATATTCTTCACTATTTTTAACACATTAAGCCCATGAACACTATGCTTATTATTTAGTTATTACTCTCATAACTTATTATTTATTAACTACTATGCATTATTTGGAAACTGCTATGAAACTAATATGTTAGTTATCTAGTTCTGAGAGTGAAGAACTGAAGTGCACGCCTGCAGACAGGTCTTTAGGGTTTAAAGGGTTAAACTTTTTACTCAATTATTAATCTTAAGATGTTTTATTCAGTGATTAACGTGAAACTAATAAGGTATGTAGTTATGAAAAAGAGGAAGTGAAATGTGGTCCCACACCAGCTTTTAGGGTTTAAAGAGTTAAACTAAACAATCAGTTATTAATTTAAATGGTTCATATCCTACAATTTTTTACTTATTTTTTCCTAAGGTCCACTAATAACATTACTGAGGTTTTATGTACCGAAAAACAGTCATAATTCATTTTTACATGACCACCTTTCTAACCTCTCATTTTCCAATCACTTAGAATGAAACGGGCTGTTTCTGTTACTGTGCCTGTAAGATTTATCTATGTAAATGATCTCTGTTCTGATTGAATGCACTGTATTGTGCCTTATCTAAAAAGCCAGGCTGAAACACTCCTTATAACTTCAGCATGAATGGCCAGGGCTTTGCTCTGAATAGGTGCATATGTGTAAATGTGCTGGTGAATTCAAAATGAGCTGTTTTTGCAGCTTAGTTTCCATATATGGACTGTATGAAATAGAGAGTGGATGGTATGTTTTTAAACTTTAACAATGTTTAAACACTACATCAACTCAGTTTTCCATGATATGGGCCCTTTAAGACTTATTATTCAGTGATTACTGTGAAATTAATGTTAGTTAGGTAGTTGCATGTGTAGTCATGATAGTGGGGAGCTGAAGTGTGGAGCCATGTACAACAGATACAGTTTAAGTTGTTGCTGCGCTCATTAGTTGAAGAGAAAGGAAAAGCCTGCGTGTGGCCTCTAGTACTGTCTAATGAGATAAATGGCCCTTCAGTTGAGGAGCTAGGAATAGACCTGAATGAGACTGTGCTGCTGATTCTTATCTTATATTGTTCTCTGAGTGTCGTCAAAGTAATGCTCTGAATCTCTCCTCCCACCCCCTCCCCTCCACTCTATGGCACAGCTGAAGTGCTGTGGGAGTAACAGCTCAGCGGACTGGCAGCAGGGAGACTGGATACGCACTTATGCTGACAAGCGTCTGGTGCCTGACAGCTGCTGTAAGACCCCCACTGATCGCTGTGGAGTGAGAGACCACCCATCCAACATCTACAAAGTAGAGGTCTGCCTTAGACACTAAAATACACCTCTTTCTCAATAACAAATCAGTTGTTTACAGACGTTCTATGTGTAATGTCAACCATTCACATGAACTGCATAATGTACTACCACACATTCATGTTATTAATATGACTGCTGTGAAAAAATACCTGTTTTCAAGTAACAGTTAACAAAACATAACAAAAAAAGCAAATTTGAACTTTTTTTTCAAAGTTGAGTTACAAGCCTAATGTAATAGAAGTCTATGTAGCCTAACACAAGATTTTGGGTGACATCACTTTCCATTACTTGTTAGCTACATTAGCTTCATAGCTCCAGTGCAAAACTAAAGAAGCATACAGGTCTCAGATGATCGACTGCTTTTAGTGTAAAGAGAAACTGTTAATTAGATTTTCTGTTAAACTATTCCTTTAAAAGTGCTTAATACTTAAGAAAGTAATCTTCAACAATCTGCAAATCATTTTTATACAAGCCTTGTGCTACCATGTTAATGAGAATGTAAATATGCCCTTCTCTCAGTTTGTTTTGGTCTACAACATGTAGCCCAAATAATACATCTGTTTCTTAGAGGTGTCAGCATTACCATGACCTGAGTGAAAGACCACAGGAGTTAGCAAAGCTCTGTGGTTGTTTTATAGCATGTACTCACAATCTTCTGCGTAACAGTGTGGGACACCAGTGTTGCGTCAACTTAACTGCTTTTTACATTTGCAGTGCAAACCAAACAATAATTAAAACCATTTTGCTTCGGGTCATCTTAAGGAGCATCTCTGAGAACATGTTCTTCTTTCTCAGGGCGGCTGCATCTCTAAATTAGAGGAGTTTATCCTTCAGCACTTGCAGATATTAGGTGCAGTGGGGATTGGAATTGCATTCCTTCAGGTAAATCATAACATTTTTATAATGAATGTGGCCTTTTGCTGCTTACTTATAAAATATTCTATGTTCTATTTTTATTACTTCTTTTCAAGATTTTGGGAATGATCTTCACCTGCTGTTTGTATCGAAGTTTAAAGGAGGAACCTTACTGAGATCCTGCAACCAGCACTCAAACACCAAAAATGCACCCACACTTCTCATCCTTTTGCCTACTTTCTGTTGTTTTGTGCTGCTATGCAATGTAAATACTTTGTTAAGTGTACAGTGATGAAGTACAGCAGTCTGTAGCAGCGATTGTGGCTGCAGGGCAGTCCATTTGAAAAGGAAAAGTACAAGAAGAGAGGGTGTGTAGTTAGAAAGCTCCAGGCCTAGACCTGTGTATGGTAGAGGTTAGAATCTGTACTGAACTGTTAGAGGATTTGTTTTAAATATTTAATTCTTTATTCTGTGTTTTCCCCACTCAGAGACACAGGCTGCAGCTGTTAATGTCCCTGTTAAAAGAACTAAATATCCTAAATATAGGAATAACGTTAATCTCTGCACCCTGTAGTTCTGGAAATAATGAATCCCTGCTTTACTGTTTAAACACCTGCTTTCTCTACCTGGAAGTCTACATTCAAGAACAGCGTGTATAAATACAGGATTAAATGTTTTACCTTCCACTGGAGGACTATATATAATAATGCTTACTGCATATCTGTCTGCACTGTAAAATGTTAGATATAGCTTTGCTTAGAAATACTGTACTCATCATGCTTGAATCAACGTGTCCTTTGTGCTATTAACTCTTTATGACTAAATTTGGTAATGTTATTTTTTTTTCGTGCATTTTACAATGTGGACACATTAATTTTTTCATTACTTTTTAAAATTAGTTTTTTGTTTGTTTTAAAATAAAGGAGCATATATTTTCTCATATAATTATATATATATATATATATATATATATATATATATATATATATATATATATATATATATTTACATATATAATAGCATTCATGTGAGTTGCGTGTATAATACTGGGAAGTGCCAATACAGTACTGCTATATAGCTTTGTGTTCAGCTGATCTTTTGTACCACTTTGGGGAAAAAGAAAGAAAAACAAACACTCATGTACACTCAAAAAAGATGGTTCTTCATATAGTTCTATATAGAATCCTTTCAAGCTTAAATGGTTCTTTGCATTGTAAAATCGTTCTTCAGAATGAAGGAGAATGTGTTGTATATGGTTCTATATAGAATCTTGGTTCTGTATAGCGCCAGAAATGGTTCTTCTTTTGTTACAAGCTTGACATCGTAACAACAGAAGAACCCATTTTGGTGCGACATACAACTATTTTCAAAAAGGTTCTAGAGGTTTCAAAAATTTGTTAGTTCTATATAGACCTTTTTTGTAAATGGTTCTATATGGCACCAAAAAGAGTTCCTCTATTGTTACAAGTTTGACATTGTAACCTTTTTTGGTGCCTATATAGAACCCTTTTACAGTTTGGTCTATACCATATACAACATATTCTCCATCAATCTGAAGAAAGAACCATTTAAGCATGAAATGGTTCTACATAGAACTCGGGATTCTAAATAGAACCACTGCCTTTACTTAAGAACCATCTGTTTTGAAGAGTGTAGGAAATCACGATTCTCTGTGTTGGGATTGCGGAACTGAATGTACACCGACAGTTTCAAGAGGAACCTTTTCGTTGACGGAACCATGTAAATAAAGAGAAGCTGCTCATCTTGTATTAATGGTGTGTGTCTGGCTCTGTGAATTCTGTAGCTTTAGTATTACCCGCCGTGTTTTAGGTCCGGTAAACTCAGTAAGGTTCTAACAGGAGTCCGAGCAGCAGAATGAGCTCTAAACCCACCTGCCTGATTGTGGTCAGCGCGGCGCCCCAAGGTACGAGTCACCCACAGAGCCGCGCGCACTCAGAGTGACCCCGAACTGGCGCTCATCACATCAGAGATCAACACATTATATCATCTTGGAGTGGGATTATCAGGGCAGAGCGCGGCCTGCACCTCCATAATGACATAGTCTCTCTCTCTCTCTCTCTCTCTCTCTTTCTCTCTCTCTCTCTTGCTAGGAGTGTGTGCTCGCTGCTTCCAGCAGTGCTTCTCTCTCTGCAGCGCAGCCTTCAACCTCCAGACAGCTACGCCTGCGGTGAGTGAGGGCTGACTGCTCACTGTCGAACTGAGGGTCTGAGAGTTCTTTGGGGTGTAATGAGACACACATGTGTTAGGGAGCCCGCCAGTGACACCCCTTCGTGATAAAATCTAGGCACAGGATCCCATTGTTAAGTCGTGGTCACGATTTTATCGTGGGAACGAGACCTGCTGAAAAGGTTTATGCTTTAGTTTGTGGGTGCTGGTTTAGCTGGCCACCCAGCATAGACATACTAGTTGACTGGAATACCAGCATCCAGAACACTACAAATGCTGGTTTTGCTGGTGAACAGCTGTGCTGGTCCATTCTGGTTTTTATAGCAGGGAGATAATTAAGTCGTTCCCACACCTTACTAATTAACTATCTCGTTGTTACCGCTTACTAAATCATGGCTGTGCATTAGGATCCCAATCCCACGCATTATAGTAAGTTGTGGCCATGCATTATTTTTGCTAGTATGTCACCAGTGGGGCTCCAATTATTGTTTTAGATTTTGACGATTCTGTTTTCAATATTTTGTGTTATAATGTTTTTGTTTAACAGAGCTCTAATTTCTACAAAGATATAAAATTCATGCATTACATGTAAATTTTTTAACAAAATCAGCACCTAAACCCCCAGATCAATCCTGTGGTGATCAATCCTGATACTGGAGATCTATAACCCTGTACAGTTAAGTTCCAATTATTAGACACACCTGATCCAGGTAAAACCTTCAAGGGTGTCTGATTAGTAGGGCTAGGTGTGTTGGATCTGAACTCTCTAGGCTGCTTGATGTCCAGGACTAAAATTGGGCACCCTGACCTTAGAATTTATTAGCGACTTCATAGTCTAAACCCTCCATAGGCAAAGAGGGGTGTCGATTTTGAATTTTATTTTGAATGTACATTTTTTCCTGTTTTTCGATACTGTTTTGAAATCCTAACACTAGAGGTGGGTGATATGTCACAATACTTGAAAACATACTCGTGACATCTGATACATATCACAATATTTAGATTTCTGAGATTTGATCATTTGGAGCTGAAAAAGCCCCAACAGTGACGCATTTAAAAACTACTGTCAAATATGAGTGCAGTGATTTTCTTTCATAAGTTTTGCTCAAAGTGCTACAGTAAATCCAGTTAAGCAGGGCTAATCATGCTCTCGTTGTAGTGAAATATGCATTTAGTCAGTACTGTCAAGTAAAGTATCCACAATATGCTCAGAAAAGTGTATTGTGACATAATTTATCACATAATTTAACACTTTTGTCCTTCACCCTTACAGTACAAGCATTCATGTTGTATTTACGTTTGACAGGGGAAACCAGTCGACTTCACCGGGGTTGATGAAAGCTCTGCTCGATGGGTTCAGGACTTCAGCATAAAGCCCTATTCCAGTCCTGCCAAACTGGAGTCCATTGATGGTTCGCTTCACTGTTATGGCTGATATTCATTTATTAATTTATTTTCTAAGCTGTTTCAGCCATAGTGGCCATATTCCTTCTCTCTTTATCTTTTTCAGTTAGTGTTCACAAATACAATGCCACTGATTACTATGTTATATTAGAGGCTGTATCTGTCAGGGTGGTGCTGAATTCCACAAGCACTGATTAGTGTTTGTGGTGTTGCAGGTGCTCGTTACCAGGCTCTGCTGATACCAGACTGTCCAGGAGCTTTGAATGACCTCGCCCACAGCGGCTCACTGGCACGAATCCTCACGCACTTCATCTCTCAGAAGAGTAAGGGATTGCTGTACGCTATAAGCTATCATAGGCCTTAATGGTTCCATACATTTCATAATTCATTTCTTCATGAGTGAAGAATGTCTTGTTTGTTGTTTGGTTGTTTCAGAGCCTGTGTGTGCTGTGGGACAGGGTGTTTCTGCACTCTGTTGTGCCACAGAAGGACAGAAATGGATATTCAGTGGATACAGCCTGACTGGAGTATGTATTATTAAGTAACAAGTTGGCAAAACTCATATGTCTTACATGTGTTACTCCATTTCAAACATACTGTGCTTCATCTCTCTCTCTCTCAAAGCCTTCTGTGTTTGAGCTGGTGCGCTCTCCAGATTTTGCCAACCTCCCTCTGATTGTGGAAGACTTTGTGAAAGATAATGGAGGCTCCTACACAGGTGAATACATAGGATGCTTTCTTTTCTCTAAAACATCAGTGCGTAGCTGTGTGTTACATTAACATAGTCCAAGTAGGGCTACACTTGTTACAAGCTGTGCTTGGGTTTTTAGGATGTCAAAAAATAATGTACTACACAAAGCATAATGTTTCAAAATCTTTTGCAGCCAGCCAAGAAGACGCAGTACATGTGGTCTTGGATCGCCACCTAGTGACGGGTCAGAATGTTCAGTCCACTACAGCTGCAGTTAACAACCTGATCCTGCTGTGCAATGGCAGCAGGTAAAAGCCTTGCCTGTAAAGGTGCACAGCAGTCTAAGTCCCTGACACCTCGATACTTGGGGTCAAACCAAGAAAAGACAATGTTACTTGTTGGAAAAAGTGTGGACCAAATATATTACTGCATGTATTAGGTTGTAACTACAGATAATATTAATGTATAAAAGTATGATGCCAGTGAAGGGCCAGTTCTGTTGCCTTAAAATATGAAATGAAGACTCAAAGCACTGAATAAGTTTAAGAGGCAGTGAATGCATTTGTCTTATTTAAGCAACATGAGTGCAACGAGAGCACTTCCTGTTCATTTCTCACAGGAAGCTGTGTAATATTCCTATGAACCATTGTAATAAAAGTAAGCAGATTTCCTTTTGTTTTTTCTATGTTGATGCAAACAGCGCAAACTAACTGGCTGTTGTATACAAGCTATCGTCCAATCTCTTGCATTTCTGAGAACATCGTTAGTTTTCTCTCAGCTCTATTTATGTAGTGCTGATTTAATGAGATTAAGGCCGCAGTGGCAGTGTTTCCCACAGTTATGAAATAAACCTGAGGGGAGCACTAGGAGTGGAGGATGGGGGTTTGTGTTTGGGGAGTTGTGGTAGTTGAATATATGGACCATTCTATCAACACACAGTTGGGAGGAAAAAAAAAAACAGATTCAGACCTGAGATATTTACAAGTTGTATGTTATGATCTATTTAAACCCAAGTGGCTGTCCCAAACCCTAAATTTAAACTCAAATAATACTTTTGTAATGCACTTTTTTCACTTTTTTCAATGTTGTTTTTAAAAAATCTCAAAAATGCTGGCCCAATGCTGTTCTCATGTCACTACTGAAACACAGAGGTTTAGTCCATAGGCAGAGTCTTATTTTAGCCACACTCCTGCATTTTAGAGCAGTAAATGACACTGCATCCCTGTCTTTCATGGCTAGTGACTAGTTTGACCACATTGGTTTAGTGTAAAAGTGTCCCAAAATAAAGCAGTGTGTAACATTAAGATTTGTCACTACTGAAACACATACTTATTAAAATTAAGTAACCTCATTTGTGTTTTAATAATAATATGATTGTATGTGTGTATAACTGCTCAAAGCTGTGTTTGCTAGCCATGTAGCCATGTTTGCTAGTTCTGCTCAAAAGTAGCTAAAATTGGCCCTACCAGAAGAGTCAGTACTGAAACACTTGGTAAAGTTTTGGTAGTGTTATGAGTGTTTTGTTAGTGACAGAATGGAATGTTCAATCATTTGTTTTACTAAAATAAACAGAATGAAGATACAGACTCACTCAAAGCAAAAGAATTTGAGTCTAAAGTCCAAGTCAGTTCAGAGTCTGTAATTTGTTTACCACCTTCATTTTGAATCAGTTTACTAAAATGATCCATATATGGATATCCAAACTCTTCTGAGGATTTTTACTTAATGAGTATTCATATAAGGCACATACAGTATGGAATAAAAATATAAAAACATGTAAACATGTACAATATAAAATATAATTCAAAAATATACTTGGGTGGCTGTCAATATACTTGGGGAGGGGCCACCCAAGTATAGCCTATGTGTGGGAAACAGTGGGATGAAAGAGTAGGATGCAGGTAATGGGAACAGATCTGATTATTTCTCTGTATGTTAACTGTCATTTTTAGAACAAACCTTGGGTTCATATGATCAAGTGTTTGATGTTCTGTGGTTGATTTGACAAAAAAGTAGTCATTCATTACTCCATTTGCTGTGCAGTACATATAAAACACCACTTCATTACCAATTCACACCAATTCAAATAAATCTTTTTCATATAAACTGTCTTGCTGTTCAACTGTATTAAGTAAAAACATTTCTAAATATATATTTGTTTGAATATATACTTATGAATATGATTATGTACATAAATTTACCTGAAATTCCAGCATTTAGATCAATGCATTACAGATAAACCAGAAATAGTAAAAATAATTTTATTGGCATGCTCAGCACTGGCATTGTCATAAATAACAATGCACCATAACACATCAGCCTTTGTAAAGATGAAACACATTTTATGTGTGTGTGCATGTGTGCATTAGTGGTCCCAGTCCAATTTACAAAAGGTCATAGAAATAGTCCAAGCCCTGTCCGAGTTCCCACATTGAAATTCCCGTGCCCAGTTCAGCTGCCAGAGCAATTCGTAGCTGGAGAGACTAAAAAGAGAGGAAAAGCATCCTTGGAATTGAATTTCGTTCTAACTATAACAGTCACAAATATTTAGTATTGCAAAATACAGTCTGTCTTACCTGCAGAGTTGGGTAATAGACTACATGTTTCACTGCATTACTCCTAAAAATATAAATAAGCAATGTTATAATTCACAGTTAAATTCAAATAGTTAAGATAATGTTTGGCATATGTGAATAAGAGGAAGGAAAGAGACATCACTATCACATGATCAAGATACTGAATGTCTTCTACAGCAAGAAGTACAGGAGCTACATCTAGATGAGAGCTGTGTGTGTGTGTGTGTGTGTGTGTGTGTGTCAAACCTTCTGTAATTGAAATAGTGCTCTCCTGAGTACTCATCCCAAAGTAGCTTAGGCTTGACTTCCTTCAATAGCTCAGTGTACCTACAAGAGACCAAGAGAGGAAAAAGGGTAGCTGAGATTTAAAAAATAAAAAATTTAAAAATATCTTTACCTGGATATGTTTCAATTCTTAAGATGTTCCCCCCTCCCTTTAGCTTAAGTTCTACTTTAGAACATCTAAAACCTACAGTCATATGCAAAATTTGAAACCCCCCAGAAAAAATGATCTTCTGTTGATTTTTTTCATTGAAAATATGTTAACACAGCCTCTGCAGGGAACAAAATTAAATATGGTATTTTTTTCTCCAAAAAAATGTGCCATAACTTTTGCATAGGCCGCATTTTATGTTTTATTTTTTCCTCAATGTTAAATAAACTGTGCATTAAAGTGCAGAAGTGTGTTCTCTGTAAAAAAATGTGTAGCTTATTTCACTTATTTTTAAATCAACAAAATATGTCATTTGACTGGGGTGCCCAAATTTTTGCATACAACAATACATACTAAACTATACATTTGAGTACATTACAATCTGTTTTAAACAATTTCTGCAAAAATGGAAGGAAGTATGTCTACTGAATGTGTCCCCTGAATGTTTTAACTAAAACATAATTTCAAAGCATTATTTAGCAGAACTAATTATACACAGAATATGTGTCTTCTGGACAGTGTCACGGAGACTTGAATTTAAAAATGCAATATTTAATTTGCTATATTTTGATGAAAAACTCTACAGTTACAGTAACTCTGCTGCACTCATACCTGCCCCCCAACAGGGGCTCTGCTCCTCCGTGGGTGGAGAAGTCAAGGCCATACAGGTTAAGACCCAGGAGGATCTTGTGTCTCCACTGGGTCTGTGGGGCAAGCTTCAACACACACTCACGCATCCAAGGCAGAGGGGAGCTGGGGCCGGGCCTACAGTGTACATAACACAAGTCTAAATATTAGCGTTGACTTTGCTTAACAAGTAAAACCAACATCACCACAGACTAATGTAATCACCGTCCAAGTGACCATTTTCACATGAGCAGCTGTACTGTCTAATAGGTGTATAGTCATATGCAAAGTTCGGCACCCTAGTCATTACACGTTTTGTTGATTTTCCAAGTGAAAATAAGTTAACACACCCTCTAGAGAGAACACAATCCTAAACATTTAATACACAATTACTTATAATTGCTTATTTGCTGGATTTAACATATTGGGAAAAATAAACATAAAATGTGTTATGACTTTATTTTTTTTTCACCCGATATGTTAAATTTCACAAATAAATGTGAGCACTAAAATGTGCAGAAAAGTGTCATATTTAAGTGTGTTCTCTGTAGAGGATGTGTGCTTATCCTCACTTCAACAACAACAACAAAAAAAAAATCAACAAAACGTAATTTCACAAGAGGCAATCAAACATTTGCGCACGACTGTACAAATAAGATTTCAAATGAAGATCTTTTACAAACACCTCAAGTCAGTAAATATGTTGTAGAACAGAGCCACGCTTACATAGGTTATACAAGTTAGTGTAAACATTGGTCTGTCAGAGCAGGTGAGCATCTGTAAATGCTCACTTCCTGTTTCCTAGCAGGGGCACAGCACAACCTCACCATTTGTCTTTTAGCAAGCTGGTGGAATTTCACATTAAATAACTAAATTCAAGTTACTACTCACAAAAGAAGTTGGGACTCTGTAAGCATTAGTGAAAAAGATCTTTCCTGTTTCACAGTTTGTTCACTGTGAGTCTAACCTGCCAGGGCTGGAATAATCGTAAGTCATCAAACTAAACGCATCCACGTGGGGGGCCAGCTTCTCAAAGTCGTCCTTCCCAAACATGCCTGGCTGGTTTGTCCTAAACACAAAACAGGAATGTTTGTGATCTGGCTCACATACAGACATCAGTGTGCAACAGCAAAGACTGTGACTGTCTCCAAAACTGATTACTGCTGTATTATACATGCTACACTGATGGCAATAATGAATGCACTTCTGAAGGTGCTGTACTGTTTTTGACATACTATTTGGTGGTTTGGAAGTATTTGGTTTTGCACAGTAACAAAAACATCACATGAGGTGTTATTTACCCAGGGCTGACAGCTGGAGGAATGACCAGAATGCAGGTAAGTTTCCCAGCCTTCAGGAACTTGCACAGGTGTGTGACCAGGTGAACCAACTCCCTGTATCACAAAGGTGACACAACACACACTCAGCAATGAGCTCAGAGCAGGGAAACTTGGCTACAATACTCGTGGCTTTAACAGAATGCTGAAAATATGCATTCAGTGTCTTATTGACTCAAATATTCACTTTTCAGTCTCACTATCTCAGACACACACAAACACACACACACTGACTTTCTCTTGTTGCCTCCCAGCTGACTCCACAGTTCCAGAGTGTAGCCATCAAATCCCTCTGCCTAAAGCAAAAACAACATGTGGTTATTAATTAGGTCATACTTTATAACTCACTAATAAGCAGTTATAAGCCCACATCCATCTACACTGTTAAACATCAGATCTTGTTGGATATTGATCTTGTGTTTTCTTCCCCATCTGTCAGCATTATACCTGTCAGCTTCATCAGATATTCGTATTCATTTATTTGTTAACTGCTCATTAATGAGTTAAGGTGTTTATAACCTGATTAATAACCATGAACCATTAAGTGAACTAATTTTAAACCATTCACAAACTTTTGTAATGCTGGTCTTATTTTGATGCTCCACCGTACCTTCGCCACCTCAACAACCTCTCTTCCAATCTCCTCAATCTCATCCTCACTGTCCAGCACACTCATGTAGTCCTGGTAAGACCAGCCGTCAAATAACAACCGAGGTACTACAGAAAACAGTGAGGGTGGAACAGGGAGGACGTAAGTTCATATTTCTCAAACATCAAGACTTCTTTTCACCAAATGTCTTAGGTTTTAACTGTGTTGAGTACAATCCAAAAAAAATCTATAGGTAGAAAATACTCACATATTTTATTTTTTTTGTTTGCTTTTCTCACAGCTTTGACCCAACCTGTTGAAATGAATAATAATTTATTTTTAAAATTAGTGTTACAAATATATAACTGAGTTTAATGTATTTTAATTATTCAAACTGATGGAATATTAGTATGGAGTTTAAGCCTGTAACAGTAATTACATAATTCCTTTATAACGCTTATTTGAGCTGATTGCAATTATTTTCCACAGTTGTTAGTTTTCTTAACCATATGTTTACATCCACAGAATATCAACTGGGTGTGTATCAGGCCATTATCTGATAACAGAGTGAAAAAAAGAAAGAATCTGATTTAGTCCTGTAACAAATCTGTTCTGAAATAGCACTCACACTGTGCAGTGATGTTTCAGTATGATCATCTAATTTTACATGATCATCTTAAGTGAAGTGCTTAAATTGAAAAACAGCGAATTTTAAAGCTAAAACAAAATATTGATATCAGCTGATATTCAAAGTTTAGCATTATGGGTATCAAAAGAAAATCGTGGTATCATGCCACCTCTGACAAATACAAAAAAAAGTTCAAAGTTCTGACTGGAGGGCAGTGGTGAGTGATTTTTGTTTGTTTGGGCTCAAATCTGTCATCAGTTGCATACAATGAACAAAAAAGACAACTGTTATTCACAATTATTTATATGGCAGTTAATCATCATCTAAAATTTCACGACTGTGGCTGCCCTGTATGATAAAAAATATAGTAGATGCACTCACCAGGGTCGTGGTCATGCAGGCCGGTGATATGGAAGCTCTCTGGCCCCCTGCGTCGGAGCTGCAGCCACACTGGAGATACTGAGGTCAGCTTAGGCCCAAACAACTTAGCAATGTCATAGCCATGGGAGTTCCACTGAAGTAAGGAAACAAAACAGACAGTAAACAGTCGTTCCTGTGCCTTTTTCTGCTAGTGTAGCCTGAATGTTGACATTTTTAGCTGTTAGAAATGTTGTTCATTTTTGGTAGATGTTTAATATGCACTGCAATTTTTTTTTATATCACATTAGCATATCAATACTGTAAGTTTACAGATATACAGAATGGCTTGTGTGAAGAAGCATGGAGAGAAAAGTCACCGGTGTGATGTAGCCCAACACTGCTCCCTGGAAGTGGCGTGTTGGTATGGTGTGAAGGCAATATCTCTTTTCTTCTCTGACTACATCCCTCCACTGCGGGTCTGTCACTACCAGGCCCCTCTCCTGCACTGGCCGCTCCGCTACCACTGTCTAAGACACACACATGGCTTTAAAAGCAAAAGCGACAGTGACGTCTCATTGTCTCTCGTCTTTATTATGATCTCCAGCTAGACGTTTTATTTAAATCAGTTTTTAATCATTGTACACCTAAAAGTACCTCATACTGAATGCAAAACAAATTTAATTATATTTTACCTCAGCCTCCTGCACTTTACTGGACTTTTTGGCATCTGTTTTTGAGAGGGTGCCTCTGATCACAGGGACCGATATACAGATGTATAGAAATGCCAGAACAGCTCTCATCTCAGTCTCTTCTCCTCTTCTGGGGAAAAACATCTTGCAGTTAGTGCAGCCTCTGGTGAAATGCTATGTACTAGAGCTGCGCAATATGACAATATTTATGATTATTGTGACAAAGTACAATACAATATGCCTTTCTGAATGTATCGTGTATATCGTCAGTACTTAAAAACACTTCCCCTTCTCCATGTTTGATTAAAAAGAGAGCTTAGATCTGTTTAATTGAATTTAGTGCAACACTGTGTATGAAATGTTGAGGAATTGGATTCATAGTTTCTGACAGTATTTTTGACACATCATAAAAATCTTCCTGAAGCATCGCGATATTGGATTTTGCCATATCGCCCACCTGTACTCTGTACTAACGTTAGTGGACTGACCAGAGGCAGTTTTAATCCAAGAACCTTTATGTCATTGTTTAACAAGTCCATTTTTTACGTGCACAGCTTATGATGATGATCTCGCTGTATGAATCAAACCTCTGAGGCTCGTGTGAGCCTTCACTCATCGCTGTTGTCTTTCAAACTAACTCATCTTTAAAAACCATCTGTCAGTATCAGAGGTGCAAACCCTGTGAGGATTTCATCAATCGACTTCACACAAAACAACATGCTCTGTCTTCTAAGACAAGAGGAACCAAACTACAGGTAACTGCGAGCCGTTTCCTTTCCGTCCTAACCCTGAGGCAGACCTGCTGGTTTGTGTCCGCTCTTTCTGTCCTGCTACAACTGAACTCGGGACACAAACACCTACCAGACTGACAGTTCATGACAGCTCAGCTTTGCTAGCGCTGACTGCCGGAGTGTACTATGAAATAAAAGAGTCAGTCCTTACTCAAAAGCTCCTCTGACGGTAAATCTTCAGTTGTTGGGCTGTTAAATAACGCGGACGTGCAGAGGACAGTGAGGCATCCCTGTGATCAGGTACCTGGATTAGCTTAGCTTAGCTTAGTCGCCACAGCGCTGCTGTCAGTGGGGCGACTCGCACACAGCAGTCACGGGACCGGCAGCCGGCTGGTGTGCTTCCTGTGTTTGAAATGAAAGGGCGCTGAATCTCTCTCTCTCTCTCTCTCTCTCTCTCTCTCTCTCTCTCTCTCTATATATATATATATATATATATATATGTGTGTGTATATCAGCAGGGTGTCCTTTTAGGCCACTGATTCCAACCTTTTTAACAAGAATGGTTGAGGCATTTATATCTTAAGCTTTTTAATATATTTTTTAAGATGTTTATGGAAGACAGACTCCGTTGTTTGATATGATATTCCTTGTAAGTTACTGTAATTTTGGCTGTTAATGCATTCTAATAGGCTTTTTAACATACAGTAGACACCTTTATTGTACATAGACAGGACAGTATAGACAGTATGTTTCTAATTCTACGTGCACAGGAGGCTACATTATGTGTAACTTATGGTGGCCAAATTTTGTTTTTCATAAAAGAGGACACTGGGGGCAGGAATTTCTGCTAGAAAAAGCATATACGCTGACCATGCTGGGTGAGCAGCTAAACCAGAACCAGACCTGCATGTAAGTCTATTCTGTTTTATTTAACAGGGAAGGCAGCACGGGGCAGACTGTAGATAGCAAATATCAAAATGAAAACAAAGCCAAATTCTGGACATTTTAGGCAATATGAAAATCCCAGCTGGACACTTTTTTCTTTTTTTAAGATTTATAACTCACCTGTTTAACAAGAGAATTACTGAGGTAAAAGAATGTCCATTCCTAAGTTTACTAGTCCATTCACATACAATACTATCAAGTTTTAGCGTGAGAAAAGGCCAAACTTCTTCCAGAGCAGTGTAGCTTTGCAGACACCCCTGCCTGCTTTGCTGTGATAGACCTGACAGTACATAATTCCAGGAATGACCATCAGGCATCGAATTCAGGCTCCTTTTGTCTGTTTTTTGTCCATCAGCAGCACAATAACCATCTCAAATTTGCTTAACCTTCATGGTTCAACATTTCCATTTTTTGACCAGCCACCGAAAATCCTGCTTTCCCTTTTGATAAATTCCTAAGATCTACCATGCTTTTTAAACCATTTATTAAATAATTGATTATTTCTCTCTATACAGCAATGCAGTCAGTAGTTATCGCTTTTTATTTTCCATTATCATTTTCCAGACACTGGCACCTGTGCTTATAAAAAATGCATATAGAGAGTAATATAATGAAACCTCAAACCTTTGTTCTTGTTAGTCAAACACTCCGATCATTTTGGCCTGTGTGTTAACTTAGACTTATAAACAATTTTAACAAACAATAAACTGGTTATTAATGCACACAAGGAGAACTGAGCATTCTATACTCTTTTCTATAGCTGTTGTTTAAGCAGACAAACAAGGAGGGATGGCATGTTGAAGACTGCTGTCAACTTGGAGTTGAAGACATCTTTCGAAAGCACAACAGGTTATAGAGTGTAAAGAGAGTTCAACTTTTGAGTTGATTAATCAGGATTGTGACGTATGAAAGAACATCTCAGACGAGAGACTTGCTGGACTTGTTGACAGAACAAAACATGAATTGAAATAGCAATTCACAACACAGACTCATTGTTTATCAAAAACAAAGTGTTTTATTTCCTATTCTATACAATGAAACACAATGATGTGTACTCAAACACTTCAAAAAATATTTAAAAAAAAAAGAAGGGAAAAAGAAAGCAGGGAGACAAGGGGTTATAAGAGGAGCTTTGCATGTTCAACGATGACTGAAAAAGCCCTGAGGGTGATTGTACTTAAAAGGCTTTAGACGATTTGGGCCCCTGAAAGTCAAGAGAGACAGGTGTCAGTTTGTATCTGTGCAGGTGTGCATGTTTTAAAAAATGTAAAAAGCATTTATAAACAGAGATTCAGAGTCAACAATGAATGTCAATTAATGTGTGTCTACCTTGCAGTGCGTAAGCACATCTTCTCCCTTGGGAATTCTCTTGGACCTTCAGAGCCATCGGACACTTGGCTTTCAGTCTCCAGATACACATCCAGACACATGCACAGACGCTGGATTTGATTGGTCAGGAGCTGCAGGCCAGGACGAGGCCCCTGGAGCTCAGACTTGAACACATTCACCTCACTCTCCATCGCCTGTGTGAACAAGAACCAGTAAGAAAGACTGCATGTGTTGTTTTCATTAAGGGAAAAAAGGAATTCTGTATTCACACTGGGTAACAAGAACTTAATATTACTATAAACACTGACGAACCAGGGGGACGATATGATATCTGTAAGACCGTAACAGAAAAACTGCACGATGTGTGGGTTAATACTGTATTTACCCGCAGGTTATCATCCGTACGACCACTGCGCTCGCCTTTCCAGAGCAGTGACAGAGAGAAGAGGGGGGTGATTTCTGGATACCGAGGGTTTAACACCACTGCAGCCTGCAGACGAGCTAAGAGTCACAGACAGACAGAAGTCACCAATGTGCTTTTGTGCATCAGTAAAACACCAGTTGTGCATCAGTAACAACTGCATACCATGTAAATCTCATGTTCTGTTCACAGTTTAATTTGGTCCATTAACTTTTCATTCTGCAGCCCAGTGAAAAGTCTCTCCTACTCACCCGTTCCTCTCTCCACAATTGCCATGAAGAACAGGTCAGTCTCCTTCATCAGGCCTGCCTTTACCACATGTTGCACAAAGCTGAGCTCCTAAACACAAACACAGAATTTGCCATTTCATAGTCAGACTATTTATTCTATACATTTTAAAATATCTTTACAAATCTTCAACCTATTCCTCACGTTATACTTTGATACATCATTAAATTCATTAAAATGGAATTAAACTGACTCAGTACTATGCAGAAGCACCAACAAAATTAAAATGAGTAAATTAAGCTGTGAATTTTGTAGTTAAAGCAACCATCTCATAAAAGTTTGACATTCACTGATGGCCACTAGTTACTTCCACAGTCAAACAGTCATATTGGTTTAAATATATCTGTACACCTCTCATGTCTGATTACAGATTTTGGCAAAAGCCTCATGTACAAAGTCTAAGCAACACTTCACCATGTTTTAGATTTGAGGTTAGTTTATTGGGCCGTTTTGTTATAGCTTCATCCTCAAATTTAACACATTTTAAGGAGTTCCTTCTATTTCGCTGACACATCTGTTCCTCAGTAGTTTAACACTGCTGTCTAAATACAATTTCAGCACCACAGAGGCCAGACCATGTGCAAGTTCACGCTCAATATAATAAGGCGAGTAACATCCAAACCCTTAAATCTGTTTTAATTCTGTAACACAATACCTAACCTCAAAAACCTGCTTTAAAAAGCTGCATAAAAAGCTGCGTTAAACAAATATGTACCGTGAACTCCTGATAGCTCATCATGGTCCAGCGGGCCAGGCGAGACACCACTTTAGCAGGGAAGAGATGCTGGCACTCACTGGAGACTGGAACTATGCTGTGCTCTACAACAAAAGAACACAACCATGAATAAAACATGTTCTGTGTAAAAAGCATTACTGAATGTGACTCTCATCCTAAGCATGTTGAAGGCATGAAGTAGTGTGTATTTGTACATACCCAGAGAGCTGAACTGTTTGTGTAAGGCCAAGCGAGACTGTAGACGTCCCCTCAGCAACTTCATGGTGGCTTCCATATGACTGGCACTGAGAGAGCTCTGTGCCCCATCAGTCTGCACCACAGTTTCAGAACAAATTTATTACAACATTTAGCACTTCATGATTTTAGAACACACGTTAATAATTACAACTGCAGCGCAAGAGGTATAAAGCTGATAACATCAGCTGGTACTGGCAACCCATGGTTTTATCAGCATTTGCGAATATTTTGCAGACGAAATGTCTACAATTCTCAAACTCTCCTGATAATATGGTATAACATTAGGTGGTTGTGCCACTTTGGAACCCAAAATGAGTTATCATATAAACATATGACAGCAATACAGTAAAATTCAAACAAAATAGCATCATAGTTAGAATAACAAATACATGAAGAACAAAAACGTAAAAATGGACCCAAACCTAATCTTTAGCATGAGAAAACATGGTATAACACAAAACACAATACCTTTTTTAATATAAGATAAAATAATTAATGTTTGTTAATCTGTAATTAACAGAAACCAAAACTGTAGAGAATTATCTAAAATGCTACAATACTTTATTATTCAAGACTGTGAGTTTTAGACTGTGTGTTTACAATTGAGAAGTGTGATAATTGAGAACTGGCTAATATCTCTGTCAGTAAAGCACTGTTTAACCAAAACTACTGGAGCACAGAATAAAAATCTAATACATATAAGTTTACAATTACAATGGCCAATATTATCATTTATCAACATTTAAGCCAATTCAAAACAATATCTGATTATATTCACCAATATTATCAGTTATCATTCAAGCCCATTAAAAACAATATCTGTATCACCAGTGTTTTTAATCAGACCCTAATTAAAACCAAACGCAGGACAGCATCTCACTGCGAAACTCAACAGATTCTTTGAAGCATAAGACAACAACAGTACAACTAATCTTGAAAAATGAATGTTAATACACTTATTACATTATTTTAAAGCCACATTATGTAAGATTTGGGGGGTTGGTATCTGGCGGAACTGTGTAACTGCATGCAAAGAACAGAAAAACACTTTGTATTGCTGATTAAGCTTCTGACCCCTTCCCCAAGCGGATGAGTCTGATGATTGAGAGCAGGTTGAAAGAGTCTTCAAAAAGTCAAAACTTGGTGTGGACGTGTCTTGTGAGGACGAAGTATCTACTACTGTAATCTTCATCAGTATAATGTTGATTCTGTATTTGAGACCAAAACAACGAGCCGGATCTTCTTTGTGAGCAAAACGTAGGACGTGGTCCCAAGAACTCACGCAAAATCCAAGCCAGCACCTCTGAATTTTTTTTTTAGGATTTACATGGCAACTTGCAGCAGCACATTTTTTTCCCTCCTGGCTCAATGCTACTTCTTTTACTTCTACTTCAATTTTAACAAAAAGTCTTACACAGCATGGCTTTAATATAAAAACATGTCATGCTGAAATAACTGCATGGCAACACACTCATACCTGTGGGGTGTCACCGAAAAACTGTAGCCCTCCGAGACTCTGCACCCAATTGTATGGATGTCCAAGTTCAGACACATAATCTGCAAAAGTTGTAATGCTACAAAACAAACAAATCAGACATTCGTTAGCTACACATCCTGCCTACTAAAGGCTTTATTAGCATAGTTCATTTTTACCAATGTGTGTAGCTGTAGAGTCTTAACAACTGTGGTCTGATAAAGAGGCCCTTACCCCACTTTGTCAAACTGGTAGCGGTTTCCAGGGTTGGGGGTTTCTTGACCATGATCAGAGGCGTACAAGCAGTTCAACAGTGACTCGGAGTTCAGCAGCTCCCTATAGAGTAAGACCAGTGTTGAACAAAGTTTAAATTTACCCAGGCACTAACTGGAAGAAAGGTGTTTTCTTGTATTTGGCAGAGGATCTTCACTTTTCTAGTTTTAGTCAGAATTTATTTTATAGTCAAGAGAACGCAGTATGATTCTGTAACTCACCCAGCGCTGATAGCCCCCGAGAGGTCAGCAGAGGTAGACACTTTAGCTTTCACAGTCAGAATGTTGAGGTTCATCAAGTAATAAAAGAACAAATGCAACACGCTGCCATCTAAAGCAAACAGAGGAAGAGAAAGATCACGGTCAAGCCCATTAAGATTAACATGCATGAAATAAATTAAACTGAACTGCTTGTGTTCCTTTACAAATCTGTCCTTTACACACAAACAAACTCGCACACCTTTGCACTTGAGGTCGATGCACAGAGAGAGAGGATGTCGTTTCAGCATCTCTTTACGCTTATCATCCAGCTGAACACCAACTGTAGCTCGTCGTCGTTTCTGAAGAAAACCCGAGACAGGTTTGAAAACTACTACATTCACAACTTCAGTATCTTATTAATGTGAAATAAGATACAGGCACAAAACAGCTGGGATAAAGCACAGAAAGGAGGAAAAATGAAAGCAACTTACAGTGTTCTGTTGTTCCTCCTCTGCATCTGAATCACTCTCATCATCTGACAGGGACACACACAAGCAAAATAAAAATTATTTTATTAGACAGAAACTAAGAAATGCACACACACACACACACACACACACACACACACACACACACACATATACAATCACATATTGCCCCTGTAATACACACACACACGATTACCTTGTGAATCTTCAGGTGGTCTTGAGAGGGCCTTAGCTTCATCCACATCTCCACTGATAGACACAGTCAGATTCTTGTCTGAAACACAAATACGCATTTCGACCATCATCAGGTATTACAACCAAACTATGCTGGTGGATTAAATTATATAAGCTGCTGTTTTCACACCACTCTTTGAAATTTTGTTGTGTATTACCAAAAGCCTGTCCATAAGCATTGGCCTGCACAAACAGCACATAGAGAGGGGGAGGAAGGTGACGTGCAACCTCAGCCTGTTTCTGCACACGCTCAAACGGCATGGACAAATACTCCTGCACGGGCAGAGAGGCCTGAGAGAAAGAGAGAGAGGGAGAGAGAGAGAGAGAGATTATCAAACATCACAACTAATGAGAATTTGCAAAAAAGACAGCATTAATCAAAACGTGGCACTATTCACTCGTCACATTTGGAACAGTACTGTGACAGTGATTCCTTTCCTATTGGAACAAAAATAGAAATTGGCGAGTTCACCGCCAGTGTCTCTAAAATAGGCCTGTCACAATTATTACACAATTGCCCAATCATAATTATTTAAGTAGCTCACTATTTTTCCCCTACAGTTGTTACCTTTCGCTATATGTTTACATTGAGCGAGTTTCTTCAGCTGAGTTGAGGAAATGCATGTAAATAAAAGGATGCAGAAAAGCTTTTATAAAGACACATCGACTGGTCCTGTAACATCTTTAGATGGCAGTGGTGAGTAATGTTTGTTTATTTGAGCTCGAGCTGTGTGTGTCCTCAGTTAAGAGCTACTAAGTATCCATAGTTATGGAGCTACATAGTTAATCAAGACAAGTCTGACTTAAAAAGGCCCATAAAAAGTCCTGGGGCCACTGGTGGACCCAAAGTTTTATCACACACTTCTATAACCTAAGAACAGCTCAAGCAGTTTGCACTTAAGTCACTGTAGTTACTGAACAATACAGTTTAGTATGTAAACAGCCTGAGATTTTAAGGGGTTAACATGCAACACAAGAGAGACAATAAACATTTTACTCACAATACAATTCACCATTAATTTCACGACATGGCTACTCCAACAGCACAGTACAGTCACATCAAAACAAACTGACTGTGTAGCACAATGTATCATGTGTCTGTGCATTACCTGCATGATGGCCTGGAGGCCTGGCTGAAGGCTGCCGAGATACTCTTTCTTCAGCTCAATTCCTTTCAGAATTTTCTCCTTACTGCACAGTGAGCTCTTATACTGCTCAGCCAACCTAGATTTCAAAGCACAGTCAGCAGCCAAGTTTTTAATATGAAGTCTCTTTCATGACAAAGAGCAGAAATTTGTGTATATAGAACTGTGTGCTTGTGTACCCTATGAGTGTATCTATACAATGGGGCCGGCCAATGTAATAACATCATAAATATACTTTTCCAAGCACACCGTGGATACTGTCAGTACTAAAGAACACTGACCAACTGAATGCTTCTGTTTTGGGGAGGGGGCAGTGGTGTAACAACAGTGTTTTTTCTATGTTTATGTGGCTCACCTTTTTCTCTGCTCCAGTTCCCAGTCAAGGCGGGCCAGTGTGAGTTGGTGGGGATCTTCTTTGGTGAGATGAGGGCGAGAGATTTCAGCTGGAGCCTCCTTAAGAAACTCATCCACACCGACCAACTCAATTTCCTCATGCTGGGACCTGGAAACACACAAACGTATGCTTTACAACATGCACAAAATTAACAGCCTGAAATATTATTTTATTTACAGAGATCACTTGGCACTAAACGCACAATAACATGCTGACATATGTGTGAAGTTTTGAAACTCATCACTCATGTTACACAAAGAAGTGACTTAACATCGTATTTCAGCATGCTTGTACAGTGGACCTCTTCACTTACTTGAACTCAAGGCATTTGCCAATTTCTTTCTGAAGGTGCATGACTTCATAGAGAAGATTCTGAAGCTGTAGGTGTAACACATCCACTCTCTGCTTCGCCTGCAGAAACAGAGCGGCAGGGAGAACTGCATGTAAATACAGTCGTATGCAAAAGCTGGTCAAATTACATGTTTTGCTGATTATCTACGTGGAAATACATCCTCTACAGAGAACAAACTTCTGTATTTTTAATACACAATTACTGTTTATTTGCTGAGTTTAACACATTGGGGGAAAAAATAAATCATAAAACGTGGCCTGTGCAAAAGGTATAACACATTTTGTATTTTATGTTTTATTTCATTCCAATATATCAAAAATGACATCTTAAAATGTGTTCTCTACAGCAGTTCTCTTAACTTATTTTCACTTAAATATATCAACAAAACATGAAATTTGACTGGGGCGTTCAAACTTTTGCATAAGCCTGCACAATGGTCATAAGCAAGAGAAGATAAGGAGAGCAGGGTGTGTATTATGTGTACCTCATGTGTCTGATCCCGCCCTTTCTTCAGTCTCATGTGCGCCAGGCGATTCAGCTTCTTTAGGGTAATGAAATGAACACAGCCTTGCCTGCGTCTCTCCTCGACTTCCGCACTCTAGACGCACAAACGCAGACATTTAATTTCAAACTTTTAGCATCGCCATTTTCTTCTTGAATTCACATCAGCTGGACTTGATTAAAGGAAATCTCACCCCTTCTTTGGCTCCATTGGCTTTAAGCTCTTGGATTTCAGCCATCAGTTTAGCCAGAGCTTCACAGGTGCTTTTATAGAGGACGTAATCCTGTTCAGGGTCTCTGCCCTCCAATTCCACCTCCTCGTTATACACACGCACATCCTAGTGAAGACATATGCTCAGAAATACATAGGAGTAGCATGCATTCACCACAGCCACTGTGCCCGACCATGTTTGTACAAGTTGGTGAAAGACAACTCTGAACTGAAATTTTCCTTAGATCTACTCTATCATGACGCAGGTAAGAAACCTAGCAAAATAATCCCTGCCCTCACCCAAGTGTACACAGAAAAAAGAGGTGTGCATACAGATGTATGTGAGATGGATTAAAAATGGGAGATAAAAGCAGAGAGACTTTTGCTGAACCTGATTCCTTACTGACAACAGCTTCCTCTGGCCGACAAGGGGGAGCCCAGCCGGAAAGCTTGCCTACCAATACATTTCACATGAGTCCGCATCATAGCATCGTGACCACTTACTATTCACACTCAACAGGATTCCTATAAACTAGCTTCTGTGGGATAAAGTAAGCTAAGTGTTCAAAGAGCACACACACTCACTCCAGCTAAGATCATTTGACCCTGATGGTCATGGAAAGACTTTTTTAGTCTTAGGTTTTAAGACTTTGTGTGGCTAGTCTCTCCTAAACTGAGACCACTGACCTGTTCCCCTTCCGCCCGACCACGTTTGGTCTCGGGAGTCCCACCATCACTCCGGATCACTTTTGCCTTGCGCTTTTTCAGAGTGTCAGAGGACATGGCTGGAAGCAGAAACACAAAAGGACAGATTATGAGTAGCTGCAACAATGGGTGAATAATGCATTCATAATATATTATTAGTGCTTTCATCTGCACATTTATTGGACTGTTATTAAATCTATAACAGTTCCAATAGAGCATCAAATCGACAGTCAAATCTAGAACTGCACAGATATGAGCCAATGATATCTGATATTTTTCAACTGCATATCTACAATGTCGATACATAAACATTTAGAAATGTAGAAATTGGGAATAAATCCACCTGGATTAGCATTACAGACAGGAATCAGAAACAGATTTGTGTCTGTAGGGTTACAGGTGCAGTAAAATTAATAAAACACAATAAAAACATTAACCTCTGTCCAATGCAGATCACTTTTTGAAAGAAATCATCGGCTGATTCCAATATGTCATTTATAATTGTGTATCTCCATTCAAAACAGTGTATCAAAATTTAAATCAGTGTGGATGATCAGCCCCTCGCTCTCATTTGTTGTCTTTTGTGGAAGCTACTGTTGTTACTCAGTTCACTGCTCAATCCATGCACACTTTCTAAAAACTGAAACAGTCACCTATAGTTAATGCTTAACGCACATATATTTGTGTTTTTGTGACACGTTGACATTTTAGTTTGGGGGGTTGGAAAAAGAGACTATTTAAGGTTGTATAAATAGTCTCTTCGTACTATTTACAGCTTAGCAGCACTGTTTCATAAGATCATTGTTTTGCACAAAGAAACTTTAAAATCATGTGTTGAAAAGCCAATTAGTGTTGAGCTGAGGCAAACACACATAACTACAGCTCCGCAAAGACAGCACGACGCATAAAACATTGATCTCAAGATCGATAATCGTATCAAACCTAATAATGTGGAAATCCTTGCACCCCTAGCAAGGAGAAGACGTTAGGCTAAGTTAGCCTAACGTTAGCTAGGTTCGGTCTTGGCTCTATAAGGACAATGTTAAGCTATTTATTTAATACTAAAAGCCGATCGTCTCTGGCGGTTACGCTGCCTGCCCCGTGATGTTTGGTGAGGTTTGTGGAGTATATCCTCTAAAATCATTACGAACTATAAGCCCGCTGTTGGTGTGAGGTCTGTATCGTTAGGACAGGCTCTATCGGAGCTCTATCAGAGCCGGCTAATGCTAAACAACGTTACCACACCGCAAACACAGCGCCCTCCTAACTACACTCCGCAGAAGCGGTCATTTAGTCACCCAAGGTGAATAAAACTACAGAAACACATCGATCCTCACCTTCCACACACACTTCAGCCAGATATGAGATTCAAATTCCTTCTCAAGTTACTACTTCAACAGCGCGGACCCAGGAACGACTGGTGAACCCAGACACTGCAGTCAGGACCTGGACACTCTTTAAAATAAAGGTCCTCCCCAAATCAAATCAGAGGAATTTATTGAAAATTTCATAAACGCTCTTTTACTCACGAAGCTAAAACAACTACACACGTCACCAGTTATTCAACATTTTAAAATCTTTTAACGGGACAGGCATATCACATGCAATTACCTCAGAAATCCACCATTTTTTGGAAACACTATAAATGATAATAATTAACTACTTTTTTAATCAGGAGGATGTGACAGCTGATATTCCACTTATTTGTGCCGAGAGAACAGAGGACTTGGCGCGAGCTGATAAGCTTGTTTTTCTCTTTGGTTGATCGACGTTAAATTGATGGGTGGGGGTTGGGTCTGGGTGCTCCATTTTGCTATTTGTACTTTGTCTGTTGCATTTAATATTAATTTTTTTGGACCTTCGTCATGTTTCAGTACACCCTCGGGTTTTGTCAAGGTCTCAGATAGTAAGTCTAGTCCAGTATGTAACTCTGCAGATGATTAAAGACAGTTCTGTCTCCACTGTGTCAGTCTCTCGGCTCGAAGAAGGACCTTTATTTTGAAATGTAAACTAAGGCTTTCTTTCACTCCCACCTGAGGAAGTAAAGTGGCTACTTCTAACTCCTAAAGAGTTGTCCTTTCAGTATAATGCTGAACCGACAGTTTTCGCAGCGCTGACTTTAAGACAATCTCTACATTCATTGTGGACCGTGTTCGGTCTCACTGGCCGCTCTTCGTATGGGATGAATTAAGCCACTGAGAGGTACGCTGCAGGACTGAACGCCGAGTAAGATCACTTGGATTACTCAGTGCAGCCATCTGTCTCAGCTCAGCTGAAGACTGAAGAATAACATTATTACTAACTAATATAGGCTTAAGAATAACATTATTACTAACTAATATGGGCTTTTGTTCGGTTTTTATACGCATACAAGCTAATAATTTAACATTAAAGCTGTACTTGTGTGAATTAATCTATGTTGTGCATGTTTCAGCAGGTGGTGTTGAGGGTGCTGCTAAAACACTATGGCTCATTGGAAGCCTGTCAGAAATCTGAAGGCAAAACTCGTACATCACCCGCCTGTGGTTGTTTTTTTCCTCTGCCTGCTGGCCCTTGCTGGAGCTTTCATTAGTATTGGGATATATTCTAAAAACCGTGACATCAAGAACCCTGACATCAGCATGGTAACTATACTGTTTATGTATACAGTGGCCCATGAAAGTATTTGGATATTTGTGCCATACGTAAATATGGCACAAATTTGGCAAAGATGAAGTTCATTGTGTTAGGAAACAAAACACAAAACTAAGTGGCATTTATTTTAAACAGAGCGCTCCAAGACTGTATTTTTCTTTTTGGCAAAGTATTCTTTGAAAGGGTGTCTGGTCTGGGGTGTTTCAGATCATTATTGCTGGAGCATTTTTTTTTCAACAGACTTCTGCAGGTTTGCATCCAAAATGCCTTTGTACTCTTCTGAGTTCATGACCCCATCAGTGAACGTAAGCTCGCCAAAATCACTGTATGCAAAACGGCCCCAGGCTTTAATGTTTCCACTTTTCCAGTACCCTTAGTGCAGTCTGGTTGGAATTCATCTTCAGGTTTAAAATGTCCAAATACTTATGGGGGCCACAGTATATATATATATATATATATATTACACTGTCAAGTTTAGTCAGAAGATGAGATATTAATTCAGTTTCTGCCAGATGTTCTCTCATGTTTTATATTTGTATTGGCATGGACATATGTCAGTCGTATATGTGCATGTTTCAGGACTGGAACCAAATGCTCGGATCAATTGCGAGTCTTAAGTTCTGCACACATTTAAACAGTACAGAGATTTTGAGTGGAGAACAGGAGGAAGACTCACCTCGGCTATTAGACCACGGAGATGGATCCATCACAAACACATCCCAAAAAACTAAAGGAGTTGTTCATGTTTCCTTGCTAGTACCTCTGGTGCGTATTGGAGACGAACCAAATCACAACAGCATTAGTGCCACATTACTGGGGAGCCAGTTGGGGTTAAAAGGTGTGTATGTGTAAACTGGCTTTAAAAACAGAATGCCAACCAACAGAGTATTGTTTTAACTTGTGGAACTAACTCCCTTTCCATAGGTGCTGCTGGCAAAGCGTTATTGAACGTATCACTGGTTTTGCATCAGCAAACCCAGTTTTCAAAAACTGAATCCAACACTGCCCTTGGCCTGAAACTACCCACAAATGCTGAAACACAGCCCAAGTCTTCTTTATTCTGTGTGAGGATTACTGCTCCAGCTCACCTTCTCCCACAGACTCCGTAAGAGAGAACTCCTCCAAGCCAACAGTAATATATTATCGGAAGATTTTTGGATTGTATACCTGTACACTGAGTTGAGTTTATTTTCAGGAAACCACCAGTTTGTCCTGCAAATGACAACCTGGAGATGTCCACTGTGAGGGCTCTTGCTAGAGAATCATACAAGCAGAGCTCCCGTGATGCACCGTGCCTCAGCTTGGAGTACACACCTGACCCAAAACTGACTGTTCTACTCACTCAGGTAAAACACATCTGCATTAGACACCATTTAATATTTACAAGACTAGAAAATACTTATGGCGTAGTTCGTTTTTTAAGGTTTAGTCCATGGAGCTATAATAGCGCAGAGTTCTTTATTCTCACACATCTGTAGGGTGTTTTGTGCAGCGTGTTGTACATCTTTTGACACATAATTGTAAGCCATGCAGAGCCACTCCCTTAAACGCGCTTTACATCCACTGATGTGAGATGCTGCTGTACCTTATTGGTCTTGGTTGTGGTGAAATGCATCTTATTTGTGGTGAATTTGCTCACTGCTGCGCAGAGAGATCTTGCCACAGTGACCGCGCTAGCTGCTGTGGTTCTGAAGCGACTTCCATCTATGCAAATGTCGAGCATCATAAATGCTTACCAGGTTTCCACCACATTTTATTTGAATAATGATTGGAGCAGTTATGTACATTTTGTAACTTGTCACTTCCAGTTTAGGCTATAGACGGCGATGAAGTCATATTATCGGAAAAAGAGGAGATGATCAGCTCTATTCACCACACTGGCTCAAAGTGCAATACACATGACATTTCTTCTGTCACCACACGTAATCATGAGTTTATTTTTCCATAACTCACCATCCTGGCGTAATGACGATGTTTCAACTGCTGACGGCACTGAAATGGAAAACTAACTACGGTAGTCAGTTCATCATATCGGATAAAAAGGTGCCCTTCTCTAGCTTTTATCCAGACTTGTAGAATTGTCCCACCAGTTGCTGCTGGGTTGAGCTTATTTTCAGGAAACCATCAACAAGGCTATGTCTCCAGCTGCTGCAGCGCCATGCTCAGAGATTTAGCCTGTAAAAAGGTGGGCAAGTTGTGTTCTCTTGCTCAAGAACCGTTTCCCACTCTCCTAGGAAGAGAAAGCGCTAGCAAGATATCATCTGATGTTAGTCAGCATGGTGCTGCTGGTCATCTGCGTCATGATGTGCCTTACTGGATCTCTTGCGTGCTCCAGATCATGGCGGCGCCGGGCAAACGATCATTTCAAAAAGGTGATGCATGAAACAACCAGACTAAATCCAAATAGTTGTATGTTTATGATTGAACTTCATGTGCTTCCTTCCACTGTGTTAACTGCATCTTTCATTTTTTTAATGTTGGTTTTGTATCTTGTATTATGCGTATATACAGACGTATGTGCATATCCTTCACTAAAATATGCAATTTTACATTACAGAAGACTCTGCTGGGGGCCTGAGCGGCACATGAGAGATTTACTGTGCGTTAATCACAGGGAAAAACACTGTCAGTTTATGTAAAACATATGTGAATAAAAAAGCATCTGCCTTTGATTAAAGAGTTATGTATGCACATTGTTATTCTTTTTTAGGAGTTAGAGATTATTGCAATTAAATATTAAATTTACTCTAAGAGTAATTTACTGTACAATAAGTCAGTTCATCAAAAAGTTGCACTGGCTGCCGTTTGTGAGCTGCTTACCTGGTCTTCTCTGTTGAAATGTGTACAGTAAAAATGAAATGTTTTGTTAAGACAATGTAAAAAACGTTTTGGCATGAATAAAGTTATTGAAAGGTTACAATTATACCAAAAGACCCCAACGCACCTTTTGTGCTAGGACGGTTCATAAAATCGTGAGTATCATGCAAATCTCTCCACACTGCACAACGCTTGTTTATAAAAGCTTTCGGTCCAAAACTGTGCAACGCCACCGCAGAGACATACTGTCCTACGGTTAACGGCAGCGTCCTGTATAATTTCCCTGTATTTTTGTCCGGTCTCATCCTGCAGCACAGCCTTTTCAGTAACTAAGCCAGTCTGAGTTTAGCGACCTTACAGCTCAACAAGCAGAAGATACATGTTTTCATGTAAACCGGACGGACCAAGCCGACTCGACGTTTCCACCACAGTCTTCATTCTCGTTAATAACGCAGGAACGACACGTACACAAACCCGGCCAAGCGTGATGAAACGAACTAACTCAAGACAACAGATGAACGTTATTCTGCGCGCGCGCGCGCACGCAAGCACAGTGTCACATTAACGTTAACGATACTCCTGACCACACCGTTCAACTGCTGGCCTGTTATTTCCTACCGTCACCGAACTCGCGGCATTCTCCCGATTCATACAACAAACCTGCAGAATAAACATTTTAACGAACACAATTTTGAACAGAGACCATGATATTTTTAGCAGAAAGAGATCAAGTTCTCGCTGTCTTCCTCCACCGTACCGCTCCTCCAGTAGCAGCTTCTCTACAGACCGCTCGCTTCCACCATGACAACGATCCGCTTACGTAGTGCTCGTCTTGAGTGACAGTCACATGGGCCAATGGAATCCGCGGAAGTAGGCGCTCATTGGTCGAGAGGCGTTCAGAGGGCCGGCCTTCGGTTTTCGTTCTCACGCGTTTTTGCGCAGGACAACGGAGGAGAGGCTGGTGTGGTGAATATCCGCGGCCTTCGGAGTGTTTTTTTATGTTCTCGGACCAGGAATAA